TGGCCAGGGGCCCACCTTGGGGCCAGCTAGGCCAAGGGTAGGAGGCGGGCAGCAAGCTCACACACTCCCAAGGCCAGTGGGGAGCAGGTGGCCAAGACCAGGCTATTACCAAGCGTTTAGAGTTCTGCTTTGAGTACAGGGAGCCAGGCCACTGGGAGAAGAGACCAGTAAGGGGGGAGGGGCGGGGACAACCCCTCCAGGCCCTCCAGGTCCCTAGAAGCCAGAGCTACGACCAATGTCTGAGTCCTTAACACCAGGAAGAAAAGAAAACAGAGGCCTGAGGCTTCCAATGGCATCTTTTAGCTTCCTGCTGCCCTAAAATATTTATACTAATAATTAACATTTATGTCCAGCCATGGCTTCCTTAGTCGAATTCTTTTTTAGAAGAGTTTTATTTTTTTAATTACATCTACTTGTGTGTGTGTGTGTGTGTGTGTGTGTGTGTGTGTGTGTGTGTGTGTGTTCTATGGTGTATGTGTAGAACTCGGGGGAACTTGTGGGGGTTGGTTCTTCTTTCTACCACGTGGGTCCTGGGAATCAAGCTCAGGTCACTGGGATCGGCAGCAAATGCCATTCCCCACTGAGCCATCTTGCTGATCCCGGTGGTTTCTGTGCCTCTAGTCAGTCCCAGACCCACCTCTTAGTGAAGTTGCTTCCCCTGATGACTGACTCGCCAGCCCTGGCTGTGAAGGAGCGGGTAGAGCTCCGGCCACACCTGAACATGTTCAGCAGCGGCCAGAACACAGTTCTAGAAGCGAGTGTCCTGGGCTACAGCCTGGTCCCCGCACTTACCAGCTATAGGTCTGGAGCACGTTGCTTTCTCTTTCTGCTCCTCTGTGGCTTATCCATACAACCCCAGGACCAGACCAAATGACCACTGAGAGCCTTTATTTACATCTGTGGTGGATTCAGGATGGGAGACGGGAGAGGAGGAGAGCCCTGGAGAGTGCTCAGAGAGACCGCCACCAGAGTCTGTGTTCAAGATATGATGAGGTTCTGGCTGTTTGGCCCAACAGGTACTGGGAGAAGGTACCCAAAGCATCAGCCTCAGAGAGTAGCCCCTGTGTGTGTTGGTACCCAGAGGAACTGGCAGAGCCCCTCCCAACCAGAGGCTTGAGGAGGCAGCAATGGGTAATTCTTTTTACCTTCTCCCTTAACCAAACTAGGCACCATGCTGCCCCACTGCAGGGGGACAGGGTTGGCCAAACTCCCGGTGACTTCCCAGAAGTCCAGGGTCCCCTGGGACTGACTCCACCCTAGCTGGCAGTCCTCCAAGCAAGGCACCCACGTCAGCAGGTCCTCGTGGCTCCTTTGCCCTTTCACCCAGTGACAATAAGGCAGACAAAGGGATGGGCATGCTTACCCTCGGCCCCAAGATGAATAGCGTCTGTCTCCAGGGCATCTCCCGGGCAGCACCCTCCCATTTCTACTGTGCCTCGTCTGGCTTGAGACAGGGCCTCGGGCTGAGGCTTCCCATGGAATGCGCTTCCCTCTGGGCCTCAGTTTCCCTTCCTGACACGCAGTGGCGTGAATACAGAGTCAGAAATGCCTACTGGCCACAGCCACCTCCAAAGGCCCCTCCCAACTTCTCAATCCCAGCTGTAAAACAGAAGTCAGTCACCGGAGTGACCTTGGGGGATGTTAGTGAGGGCAAAGGTAAATTTTTATCCTAAGGGTGAGAGCTTTTTTATTGGTGACCCTGACTTGTGGTAGGGAATGAGGGCCAGCCTGGCCATCTGCCCCAAAGGCCAGGCACTGGCTCTGCCCCTGGTAGGAACCTCTGGTCAGGCCTGGATGAGTCACTCGATTTGAGAGTCACCAAGTTGGGGGTGTACTTACGGTTCAAAGTAAGCTCTGAGCACTGCCCTCTCTTGGGGGTTGGGAGCTGGGCAGAAGCAGAAGGATGAAGGGGGAGGGAGCACCGTGGGGGAGGGGCGGGTAGCTGCACCTCTGGGTGCCAGGTGTGGCTCCAGGGCAGTGCCTGAGGGCCATAGCCAGCAGGGTGGAGCAGAGAATGCCAGGCAGGTGGGCACTAAGTTTTCCTGAAGCGCTGTGGTCTTTGACGGAACCCAGGGCAAGTTGGTAAGGGTAGAGGGGCCATATAAAAGGGTTCCTTCAGCCGGGCGGTGGTGGCGCACGCCTTTAATCCCAGCACTCGGGAGGCAGAGCCAGGCGGATCTCTGTGAGTTCGAGGCCAGCCTGGGCTACCAAGTGAGCTCCAGGAAAGGCGCAAAGCTACGCAGAGAAACCCTGTCTCGAAAAACCAAAAAAAATAAAATAAAATAAAAGGGTTCCTTCATCTGGTGGTGGTTATGGATGGCTCCCCCGACAGGGCCCTGCTTCTTGGCCTGTGTCCTCAGGTGCTTTCCCAAGGGCTCCTGCCAGTTGTGCACTCTACAGGTTCCGGAAGACACCCCCCCCCCCAGCATTTGTCTCCTTGACTCCCTGGGGCAGATCTGATAGGTCCCCAGGGCATGGAATAGCAGTTTTAGGTCCCTACCCGGCCCCCAAGTGCAGACAAGGCAAATGAGCCCAGAGACACAAAGAGATTGTCCCAGTGTCACAAAGCTGGGGTCGGTATCCACGTTCTGCCCTGCGTGGGGAAATCTGCCCCCAGTGTCCTGTCTGGGGTGGGGGTCCACATAGTGCGTGCTGCTGGCCTGGGAGACAGGGAAGAACAGGGCAGGAAGCCACTCTAGCTGATGGTTGTCTCGCTGCCCGGCTGTCGAGGTGAGCTGTGGGGCCAAGCTGGCGGGCACAATCTGTTCTCACACTGCCAGGGTGCGGACAGGCCAGGCGCAGGCCCCGTGGCTCAACCGCTCAACTGCGCAGCCTCTGGCAGATGAAGCGACACACAGCCACTGGCTAGATGCCGCACTGGGGGGGTGGGGAGGGTGGGGGGTGGGGGGCAACAATTCTAAGGAGTCCTGAAGCCTTCACACCCCAAACATCTGTTCCTAGACCTCTCTGAGCTTTAGGCTTCTGATGGCCCTAGGCTGGCAGAGATGATCCTACTGGAATGCAGCTGCTCCCAAGCCTGGAGATCTCCTGGAAACGTGAGAGTTCTCTGCCACCTCCTTCATTATTAATCAGGGAACTATTGTTGGGCATTTGAGATGTGCCAGGCTCTAGGCTAAGTGCATCACATACATCATCTCACTTATTCCCCCAAAGTTCTTGCTGCGTGTGACATATTTAGCCCCATTTTACAGATGGGAAAACTTGCAAAGCTCATAACATCCCGGCTTGAAATGTAGTCGTGAAGTGTATTTGGGACTCCCTTGGAAGGCCGACGTTAGAGGGGACCATTATAGTTTCACCAGGGCTCCCTCCCAAGTTGATGTTTAGTTTTATATAGTTGGGGGCCCTAGAGGTCACAGATGAGCCTTCTCTGAACCACCCAAATAAAGCACTAGGAGGAATTCAGGAAGACTGCCTGGAAGAAGCAGTGTTTGGTTGAGATTCCCTACGAGTCAGAAAAGAGGAAAACTTGGAAACCCTGCCCACATTCTTTCAATCTCATAATTATCTTAATAAAAGCTGAAGTGTTTATGCTCTCTGGTCTGATTGGAGAAGCGAGTGCCCAGAACAGAAGATTTCATTTTCAAATAAAGAGACATGATCAAAGACAGAAAGTCATTAGTTCAAGGTCACAAGGCCACAAGTAACGAGGCCAGAACTTGTGCCCACGGCTTCTGGTTCCTGTTCAGGGTCCTTTCTGCACCTCTCCCAGGCAGCCAGGAAGATTTTGTTGTTATTGTTTTGAGAAGGGTTTACTCTGCAGCCCGGACTGCCTCTCCACCTCTTACTCTCCTGCCTCAGCCTAGCACACGCTGAGGCTACAGGCATGCACCACTACACCCAGCTCAGGGCAGAATTTCTGATAGTCATTTGATGATCAGCTCAGAGGGGGTGGATTTGACTCTGCCTGGCGCACAGATGGGGAGAGTCCATAGAGGGTAGACAGGGCAGAGGAGAGGACCTTAGAGATGGTCTAGCTGGTGACAGGACACTCAGGACTCCTGCCTTGCCCAGGGCAATGTCCCACCCTCACACGGACAGAGCCGACTTTTGGACCAAGTCCCATGGGCAGATCCCAGTCCCAGGCAGGGTGGAAAACCTGGAGTATGGGTTCATGCTACCGTGGTGAGGGAGGGCACTATAGGCCAGCTGCTCAGGGAAACTGCAAAGTCCCAGTGGCCATCACCCACCCCACCCTGCCCTACCCTGCCCCAAAGAGCTTTGACTACAGCAAGGAAACCATCAAGAAGCAAGAAGCCATGCATGCCTCAGTTTCTCTCCCTCCACACTGCATCACCATATCAGAAGCCATTCCATCCCACCATCTCCCCTTATAGCCATGGGCACTGAAGCCCACAGAGGACAGGGAGCATGGCAGAGCCCACAAGTATTAGACAGGAAGCCAGCTCTCAACTGCCTGCCTGCCATCCCCCACACATCAGCTGCCGGCGGACAAACTTCCCAGCAAGTACCAGCAGCCAGCTCCCCTCTCCCAGAGGCATGAGACATGCCGTGTTTTCAAGAAAACAGATTCAAGTTCAAACTCCGCCTGCTAAAACTTCTCGACAGTGTGACCTGGAAAGTCGCTAACTCCTCTCTGCCTTCGGGGATTATCATCCAAGTGCTTCTGGGTGATACAAAGGGTTTGGTGCCCAAAGCGTGACAGGACGCGGATGTGCCCGTGTGTTGAAAGGCAGGCTCAGTAGCCAGCTGCGGTGGCAGACATGGTGGTACATGTCTGTAACCCTAGCACTTGGAAGGCGGAGGCAGGAAGATCATTGTGAGTTCAAAACCAGCCTGGTCTACATATTCAGAGATGCAAGTTAACCACGGCTCCATAGCTAGCAAAGAAAGAAGTTGGGGGGGGGGGGCAGGTCAAGAACCTGCAAGGTGGGGAGGAAAGGGGGCAGGCAGAGGAGGAGGAGGGACCCCCGCCAGGCCAGTCCCACAGTGTGTGCTTTCTCTCTTCTCTCTCACAGGCTATGGTCACGCAGCGCCCAGCACGGACGGTGGCAAGGTGTTCTGCATGTTCTACGCGCTGCTGGGTATCCCGCTCACACTCGTCATGTTCCAGAGCCTCGGTGAGCGCATCAATACCATGGTGAAGTACCTGCTGCATCGTGCCAAGAAGGGGCTGGGCATGCGGCACCCCGAAGTGTCCATGGCCAACATGGTGCTCATCGGCTTCGTGTCGTGCATCAGCACGCTGTGCATTGGCGCCGCCGCCTTCTCCTACTATGAACGCTGGACCTTCTTCCAGGCCTATTACTACTGCTTCATCACGCTCACCACCATCGGCTTCGGCGACTACGTGGCGCTGCAGAAGGACCAGGCGCTGCAGACGCAGCCGCAGTACGTGGCCTTCAGCTTCGTGTACATCCTCACGGGCCTCACGGTCATCGGCGCCTTCCTCAACCTCGTGGTGCTGCGGTTCATGACCATGAACGCCGAGGACGAGAAGCGTGACAAGGAGCACCGCGCACTGCTCACGCACAACGGCCAGGCGGGTGGCCTGGGGGGCCTGAGCTGCCTGAGCGGTAGCCTGAGCGACAGCATGCATCCCCGCGACCCGATCATGTGCCCGGCGGCCGCGGGCGTGGGTGGCAGCGGCTTCCGCAATGTCTACGCCGAGGTGCTGCACTTACAATCCATGTGCTCGTGCCTGTGGTACAAGAGCCGCGAGAAGCTGCAGTACTCCATCCCTATGATCATCCCGCGGGACCTCTCCACGTCCGACACGTGCGTGGAGCACAGCTTCTCGTCGCCGGGATGCGGTGGCCGCTACAGCGACACGCCCTCGCACCCCTGCCTGTGCAGCGGGACGCAGCGCTCGGCCATCAGCTCGGTGTCCACGGGCCTGCACAGCCTGGTTACCTTCCGCAGCCTCATGAAGCGCAGGAGTTCGGTGTGAACCACACGGCCAGGCCTGCAGCACCTGTGAGCCAGCAGGGTGGGGGTCCAGCCTGCAGAAGCCGCAGGAGTTGACCAGGAGGCCCCACCCAAAGACGCCTTCGGGCCCCGTGGGACGTCCCCAGCCCACCACCTCTATTCTTCCCTAGCCCCTAATCTCCAACTGTGCGGGCTTGCACTAGCCAGCAGGAGACCGGGCTCTGAGGACCCCTGGAGCCCCGATCAGAGCCCGATCCATTCCGAGAAATGTGAAACTTGGGAGGTGGGGAGGTGGGGACCGCAGCCACTAGGAGCCTTTCGGAAATCTGAGAAGCTCCGCAGTCCTCAGAGGCCCTGCTGGGACCCAGAACCCTTACCTCCCGAGGGGACTTCTGTTCTCGGGTTTTTTGTTTGTTGTTTGTTTGTTTTTTGTTTTCTGGTTTTGTTCTGGTTTTTTTTTTTTTTTTCATCTCTACTTATACCTCCCCTGGGTTCTCCAAAGCCCACGGTGTCTTTGTCCAGGTCACCCCCCACTCCATCCCACCTTGCTCTCTCATCTCCAGTCACGTCTCCCAGCCTTCCACTACCTTCTGTGTCTTTTTTTTTTTTTTTGCATGGCTATGCAGTTATGGAAGAAAAAAAAAAAAGGAAATCCCAGCGGTCCCTAAAGCTAGTCCCCAGAGGGCAGGACAGGGGAAAAAAAGTGGCAGGCAGGCCACAGGAGTTAGAGCAAAGTGAGCGCAGAAACTGTGGCTTCCAACTCTGCGAGGCGGCCACATCCGTAGGTGAGCTACCTGGAGTCTGATGTCATGCTCAGGGCTCCGGGGAGACTCCAGCCTTCAGGATTGCCCTTGGAATCTGAAACACAGACTCCCGCTTGCTGTCTGTCCCTGGCTGCTGTTATGGCTGCTCACCTACTCTTCCATTTATAGTGATTTTTTTAGCACCGGAAACCCTGTCCTCCCTACGTTCATTTGAGTGTACTAACACTCGGGTTAGGTCACCTGGGCAGTTCTTATGGCCATTTTTTTTTTTTTTCAGAAGAGGAAAACAGGTAAAAATTACTTGCCCCAGGTGATGCAAGTCTTGAAGGGGAACAAGAACCTGCAAGCTTGTTCCCAGCCCAAGTGCTCTTCTTTCTGGCCCAGCCTCCTCTCAGAAGCAACGGGCAGCACCCTGGCCTTGTGTAGGCAGCTGGGGCGTAAACTAGAATCAGAACCCCTCCGTCAGAGCCCTTTTGCCATGGCTCTGACTCTGCTACTCTTCTTAGCCCAGAGACCGCGGCTCTAAATGGACCCTTGTCTCTGTTCACAAGCAGGGAAGTCCTCGGGACTGAGGTGAGCAGGACTAAAAGTCTCACGGACTAAAAGCCGGGAGTTGCAACACTCTGAGAGTTCAGGGACTGGGCTGAGCAGCCCAGACAGCTGGCAGGTGTATCCTGGGACATTATCCCTGGACTAGAAGCCGGGATGGGTGCCTGCATCCTAAGTTGCTAGACCTAAGGCTTCCACTATAGCCAGGAATGCCCCTCTAGGGGAGAGAATGTATTGGACTTGGTATGCCCTCTACCTCCTCCACCTGCAACCCAGGTTGGGGGTGGCGGACTGGTGGCTTGCTACTGGGGACAAGCTAGAGGTGGGGTAGGCCCAGGGCAGCAGAAGGGTATGTGTGGGGCTGTGGGTATGGCTCAGAGGTAAAGCACTTTCCTAGTGTGCTTGAGACCCTGAGTTTCATCCCTGGCACCAGGAAAAGGGGGAAGGGAACACCCCCCTCCCCCCAGCTGCCTTCCACTCACTGTTCCCAGGCCTAGAGTAAGGCCAGCCCGACCATTTGGCAAGCTAGAGAGAGAGCCCCCACCATGTCCTCCAGGCCCTGGCGGTCCCTAGGTGGAAGGAATCTGACCTATGTGTATCCCCTGTCCTTGTGGAAGAGCTGGCCCGTGTGCCAAGGGGAGTGGGACCCCGGAGCTGGAGAGGTGCCGTCTGTGTTTATGTTGGGGCAGGGGCAGTGCTCACTGCCTCTGTCCTGTGTGTGACCCCGCCCTCGAGGGGTCAAGTCCCGTCAGATCCGAGGGAGCCACAACCAAAGTTACAGAGAGGGTGGGGAAGGCAGCAGAGCGGCCCTAGGGTTCTGAGCTTGGGGGACTGCTTGTCTCCTGTAGGGTCTTGCCTAGGGAACTCGAAAGCCACTGTCACTTCCTGTCTCACCCCCTCCCACTGCAGGCAGCCTTTCTGCTTCCCCAATGCCTTATGCCTGGGCACACTGCCACAGAATATGCAATATGTGTGGGTGACACGCCCCACACCCACCCGGGCAGCCCCTAAGTCCCCCCAGGCTGTGGCTGCCCTGGCCCCCCTCAGCAGCTCCTGCCCATCTGTCTTCACATTGAGAATGGCGCCTAATAAATGCTGTCCATGGAGACCAGGCTCTGGTTCCCGCTCCTCTGTCATTGGTCGCCTCAGTTGCTCAAGCCTAGCCATTCACTCACCCTGCCCCGCCGGGGTCTACAGATGTGGCTGGTGGATTCCCCTCAGGCTGATCAAAAGTGCTTTGGGGGCCTTGTGAAAAAACCCGGGAGTCAACCCTGGCTTCCCTTGGTAGTTTCTCAAAAGATCCGAGCTCTTCGATCTCATCCTGGAACAGACTATGAGAACAGGACCTTAGAAATGACTGGGTCCTGTCCCCCTTCTGTACATAAGTAACCTGAGGCTAACAAGGACAAGTCACTTGCCCGGAGTCACACAGCCTGTGAATGGCAACCTAGGATTAGAAGAAAAGCTGGGGATTCCCTCACTTTCCCTCCTCACCTGGCCTGCAGAGTCAAACAGGACTTCTGGGAGTAACATGACCTCCTTCATCAGAGGCTCCTGCCCCCAGTGGCCTGATGGACACCAACACACACACACACACACACACACACACACACACACACACACACACACACACACAATCACTTTCAACAGGGGCACATCACAAGTACTTTTCCTTAGGCTTGGGAATGGGCCCCAGAGTACAAGATAGATATGTAGGAAGCAGATAGACCCCGCCCATTTGGAGCCAGCACCTGAATCACCCAGCCAATGGGCTTCCAGGCTCCCCTGAGCATGAACCATAGTGATACCTTCGGCACCACAATCTCGCTACACATCCTGACTCACAACCACCCCGCCACACTCAGTACGCGCATATCCATTCCGTGTATAAATGCCAGCTGTGGCCCACTCCGATGATTTTCTCTACCCATCCGTGGCTTGCTATCTTCAGATCGACACACACACTAGAGAATCAAGGGGCTGGGGCTGGGGGCGCACCTCCCTAACCTTCCCTTCTACCTCCGCAGACCAACTGAAGAGAGAAGGGGACATATTTGTGGGGAGGGAGGTTCTGGGTTCAAAGAAAAAAAAAAGGGGTAAAAGCCTGTGACCTCTCCAAGACACAGCCAGTCTCCCTGTGATGCACCTCTGGCCATGCCAAGGTTTTAGGGCATGTTCATTGGTAATCTGCTGCCCTCAGGGTGGGCACAGCAGAACCCTGGCTCACCTACTCCTAAAACTGCTTCATCACAATCAAGGCTCAAAGGCTCCTGCTTCTCTTAGCTCTCAGAAATGCAGCGTCAGCCAAGGTGGGTCCTTCTGGCGGTCAGTGGTGGCCAGCACAAGGTCACCTGTACTTTCTCACGCAGTGTTTTCAGGACACAAGCATGATGATTCTTGCCCTCCTTTCAACATCGCCTGGGCAAAGCTACCGAAAACAGATGTTGCAGGGATTCCCAGAGGGGACCCGCACCCCCAGCCCCACCCACAGCTCCCCAGAGCTCAGCACTAATACGGGATCTTCACGTCCAGACACTGCCAACCCCGTCCTCTTTACCCCTGAGGCTACCTGAACTGAAGGACACAGGAGTAACAGAAGTTGCTAACCTGCACCCCAGAGAGGGAGTGGGAAACAAATATATGGTGATTTGGGTGAGCATCAATGGGAACAAGCTTCCTAGGAGCCAAGAGAAAAAGAGGGATGCCATGACAGTGCCTCTCTGAGTATGCAGCAGGTGACTCATAGGTGCTTAGCCGAGCTTGGTGACTCACACCTATAATCCCCAATGCGCGAGACTAAGGCAGGAAGATTGACGTGAGTTTGGGGTCAGGCTGCCTCTAGCCTGCCTCAAAACACCAGAAGGGAAGAGAAGAGTTGGTCCTGGGTCAAAGGAATTTGATAGAAAGCTGCGCGAGTCACCCCACTGTTGGAACCCCACAAGCTTCTTAATGCGGTAAAGGTTCTGAGAGGTCCCACGGCCAAAACACTGCTTGTTTTTACTTAAACTGGGGCCACTCAAACTCATCGCACACCAGCTCCTCTGTTTGCCTGACACTTGTTCACATCCTGGATCCCCCAGCGCACTTTGGGACCTGCTCGGCTATCACCATCTCGCTGAGAGAGAAGTAGGTCTCATCCATCCCTCTTGTCCGCCATTACAGTCTTAAAGGATGTGGATGTAGCTCAGTTGGCAGAGTGCTTGCCTAGTATACACAAAGCCCTGTGTCTGCTCCCCCTGCACCGCATACAGGTGGCAGCTTACGCCTCGAATCCCAGCACTCCAGAGGTGAAGGCAGGATGATCAGGAGTTCAAGGTCATCCTTGGCTACCTAGTGAGTTTAAGGCCAACCTGGGGCACACAAGATCCTCAATGAATGGGTGGATGAGTGAATAAACAAACAAACCAGTAAGCTGAAGCCTCGATAAACTGTAGCCCATCTGTAACTGACAGCTGTAGCAATAAGAAATACACAAGCAAAGCTCACTATGTACCAAGTCACAAAAGGCACAGAGCGGCACACTGGTCCAAAACCAGACAAGTGTGCTGGTAACACAGCTGAGCCTGGGACCCAGGCTAATGGCTACATGGATGAAGCCTGTGTCCTCCCTCCTCCTATTGGACACTGCCTGGCAGTGGTCACTGTCTTCAGAAAAGGTTTGGCCGTTGAGGAGTATGAGACCCAGGCTCCCTCTCCTCCTCACCTCACAAGGCCAGTCGACTCAGGTGGATTCAGGGTCTCCTGTGCGGCTGCGACAACAGACCTCCAGCTGCCCTTACTCTCCTTGCCAAGCCATATGGAGACGTGTGTGTGTGTGTGTGTGTGTGTGTGTGTGTGTGTGTGTGTGTGTGTGTGTGTGTATGGGTCCCCAGATCAGAGGGCCAACTCCTATCTGTCAGGAAAGAAATGATAGGTTCAAGGTCATGAAGGAAGACAATGGTAAAGCCAGAGCTAGTAGCCATAGATCCTGGCTTGTACACACACACACACACACACACACACACACACACACACACACACAGACCCTGGGTCCTTGGCTTCTGACTGGAAGAAAGTGCTAATCCTGGAGTTGAGTCACTCTGGTGCTGGAAATTTACCTCACATCTGAACCAACTGGGAGACTCACGCCCCCTTGTCTCCCAGCTGCATGGAGGACTCGTGGGTGGGACTGTGATGACATGGGTCTCTTTGATCCCTTCTAGCCAGTGACACACACAAAACACCTGGAGAGTCCACATCGAAAGCATTTGACCACCAGGACAACACTGTAAGTTAAACATGAATTAACACCCTTGTCAGGAAGACCAAGGTCTTGCCATGCGACTGAGGTCACAGAACTTGGTATCAGAGGCACTGGGCATAGCCTAAAGAGTCTCCTCAGGGACTGCTGTGCTGGGCCAGGACAGCAGTCAGGTCCTGAGAGATCTGAGACGGCCAGTGCCCTGTTGTTTACAGCCTCCTCAGAGGGCTGGACAGGTCCCAGGCTTCGGGAGAATCCAGGTGGACACAGTTCCAGAAGTCATTGGTAAACAGGGACGGAGAGTAAGGGACTCTTCACCCGCTTCACCCTGTGCCCTGGACTTTGGGCCAAGGCCAGTAGAATGTCCAGCCAACAATCCCGGCCCTCGACAGGAGGGAACAAAGGTCCTGCCTTTGACCCGGGCCACCTCTACACATCTTCACAGTTCTTGTTCCCGGGAAGAGGGCACCTGTGGCCGGGTCATCCACAGCCACGGAATGTTAGAGTCTCGCTTCAGGAGCAGACTGGGGTTCTAGGAGGCCTGAGATCTTAACCTCTCCAGCATCAGGGCTGGAGAGACACTGTGAGGGTTAAACCCTGAAGAGCAGGGCTGCCCCCCAGCACAGGGGGTCTGCCAGGCCCTGCAACCCTCTGGTCTCACCCCTGCTTTAAGTGAAGAGTCGTGTTCTGCCTTAATATGAGGAACCATGAAGCTCTAGACCCTTGCCTGCCAGGGGCCGTGTAGAGATGTCCTTCTGGTCCTTCCCAAAGGAGGTCCCAGAGGTTGGAGGATGGGCCCTCTAGGACCTGGGACTGAATTCCACACTCCCACTGTACGACACCCAACTTTGCCACTCAGCCCCTCCCTAGGCCAAGAATCTGGTGAACAGACCCAGCCCACAGCACCCCATGCTCTGGGTGGCTCCCCCCCCCCCACTACATGGCAGTTCTAAGGACCATCGTGTCTTCCTCCCACTGAGACAAGAACTGCTTTGAGGTTCTCACCGGAGGGCAGATGAAGTCACCCAAACAAGTCAAGATGGCCCTCCAGATGGACAGGAACTCCTAGGCCTTCTCAGGTTAAATCCCCAGCTGTTTCTGCCCCCTTTCCTGTAAATGTGCATCTGGATGCCCCACCAGCCTGGCCCCTTCTCAAGGCCAGCTTCAGCCTTTCTCTGGCCCCGGGGGCTTGATGTGCCACGTAGACATGCCACATAGACCCAGCCAACACAGAGGTGGCACTCGTCCCCTCCTCCGCTCTGAATGCCATTCCCCTAGGAACACAAGCCAAGCATTCATTGGCTGCCTCCTCTGGGTTCACCAAGCCACCAAGACCTCACTGGAGAGCCATGGTAGCAGATTCGGTGAGCTACCAAAGCGAGAGCCGTTCCAGCAACCTTCTGCTTGATGACAGAGCGCTGACATTTCTCAGAGGCTCATCCTTCCCCAACCCCAAGCCCTGGGACTCAGCTGATCCTAGGGATGTCAACATTAGGCTCTGTCTCGGTTTGGAGCTCTCCAGGTATGGCTTCAGTGGGACTACCGGGAAAGGCATTCTTCCTGTAAAGGCATCAGAGGAGAGGAAATGCCCCTATGCTTTGACTAGATAGGCCTCTCTATGGACCCGTCAGAACTATGGCAGCCATCTTGTGACCTTGAGGGAAACATTGCAGACCCGATGAAGATGGTAGAGGAAGAAAGGGCAAAGAGCTTTGCTGGCTTACTGAGAACACCCAGGAGCCCCCAACTGGAGGAGCTCTTGTCATGGGAAATGGAAGGTGAGGGACCCAAATGGATTTTCTGCTACTGGCTTCTGAAGACCCCATGGCCCTCAGACTCCTGGAATGGGACATGCACAGTCTTAAGCCTGG